CCTGCGCAAGCGTTTGTTCCATGGAAAGTGGCAAAGAACCCCCTCCTGGAGCAGTATGCATGTTCCTTTTGGCTGGACAAAGCAATATGGCTGGCCGTGCCCAAATCTCTGAAGAGTGCTCAGAAGAGCCTCGAATTCTGGCACTCTCCAGAGACGGCAAGTGGAAGACAGCAAGGGATCCTCTGCATGATGACAAGCCTGAGAAAGCTGGAGTTGGACCCGGTTTGGCATTCGCCAGAGCAGTTGTTGTCGCGATCTCAGTTTGTCGTAGCACATCATATTATATACAAGATATTGCAAATTACAAGCTGTGTAAGACTGTAAATGATCCTAAGCTCACAGCTCTGGGTTTTGTCAGCAAGCTTTGTAAGCTTTACTATCAGGATTTCTGTTCAGCACCCATTGGCTTGGTCCCTTGCGCATTTGGTGGGAGCGAAATCCAACGCTGGATCGCATCTTGGTGTTGGTTATCTATCTACAATGCAAGAATGATCTTGGTGTGACTGCTGTAGCTCTAGTTCCTTTGAAACTGCACCACCCGACAACTGCACGAAAACCAAATTCTGAAGGCAGATGGGGACTTGCTTCAGAGTGCAAAAGGGCGTTTGCAAGAAGGGGAAGCAGCCGGAGGAGTTTTGAAGGGAATTCTGTGGCATCAAGGAGAATCAGACTGTGGAAGTGGCAGACTTGGTTAGACTTGGCTGTTTTGTGTTCCATCATGTTCACTGTCTTTCGTTGCAGTTTCACAAGACCATATCCTTGACATGAGGTGAGGAGATGGCATCATTGTACCCTTCTCGTTTGCACCAGCTCAAACAAGATTTGCAGACAGCTTGTGGTGGCGTGCCTTGTCTTTGCTTGGCAAATAATGTACACATTTGTCCACATCAGTGGGTGTAGTATGGTGTTACGATTTTGTGATATGTTGTGTGAGTTTGCTTCGCTGAAGCAATTGGTGTTCCTGAGTTTGACCGTCCAACGTAGGTCCCCATGATTCTTGGAGAGCTTGGCATGGAATTTCTGGATTTGGAGGATTCGAGATTTTCTTTTGCAGACACTGGCAATGCAAAGGAAAGTCACATAAATCCTGAAGTCTGTTGCTTCGTTTACAGCATGCATTCTTACAGCTGTGGTTCAACAAGAATCTAATGCAGAAAAGGATGGTCTAGAGTCTAAAATGCACCTGTTACCTTTTTGTGTGGCTAGACTGGACTGGCTAGATGACTAACAGCGACATACATGCGCAGCTTGCTGTTTTCTACACCAAGAGCCCACGCGTCAGAGCTGGAGCGGTCTCTGAGGATGCTGTGAATACATCGATCGTAGAGTTTGGGACCTCTGGGGGTACAAGCATTGGTTGTGTTAGTGCGAGAGGCCTTCAGCACAAGGTGCGGGTATCACGCTGTCATGTTGTGTTGTCTGCCATAGCTGCTATCATTGCCTTTTTTATTCCATGTGCTTAACACATTTCTTGTTTTTTGAGTCTTGTGTGACATGTTTTTTTCTAGTTTCTATTTTTCAATTGTTTTCTTTTTGTTGTGGGGTTGGCATGGTGACAGTAATTGAGCTTATTACGAAGTCAAATTGCCATGCCTAGGGCGACCGTTTACACTTCTGTCGTTCATCAGCAGAAGAACTTGGGAAGCGCTATGCCTGGAAGTGGCTGGAGATGACAGGCCAGTCTGATAGTCTTCCTGTCATCAAGCAATGACTTCCCATGATTGGCGCTTGGATGTTGTGCGCTTGCACCACTTTGGTCAAGCGGACCAGGAAATCTGAACCTTTCTTTGCACACCCTGGTTGGTGACCAGCTCTCACCACCTTTCCTGCTGACAGCTCCTCGAGACTTGGATGGAGCCTGGCCGAATGTGTTTTTGGATGTTTTTTTGCCTTTCTGGCATACGTGTTCCCATATTTTGCTATGTGTGTTCCTATGCAAAGTTTGCATATTCCTTACTCTACGACATGATGACCTCTTGACTCTTTGTGCCTATTTTTCATGTACTACACCACCGTCGTGGTCCAAGGAAGTCCTCCTGCTGACAAGGTTCGTGCCAGAATCATTTCGAAGTGTATGAAAGGTTTCTTCGCCAAGCAAGAAAATATGTTCTCTTTAACGCTCTCTCTCTCTCTCTTTTTTGCAGGAGGCGGCGACTGGCGCAGTCCTTGATTAGCGTGCGGAGAATCCATGAGATCTTCAATTCCCTTGCCGCACTGCTTTCTCGAGTGGTGGTCCTGGAGCTTCCACGACCTGGAGAGTCAACTCCCAGACAAGCTGAGACAAGTGGAATTTGCATCGATGAGGTTTTGGTGAAGCTCTTCTATCTTGATGTCTCAAGCTGCAGCTCCAATGGCAATAAATGATGCCTTGCTCGAAGTCAGAAGGATATGCTTTGGTCTCGTGACAAGACAAAACAGATCTTGCTCAATGGATTGCAATAACAAATTACTTCCAGGATCATGGCACTCCAATATTTTTACTGTGGAGCAGTGTCACGTCCGATTGCTCACGACAGGTTTTAATGGGTTTTAGACATGTTTAGACTTTGGACACCTTTAGACTACTCCGGGGAAAAACAACATAGACCGTAACTCAATTTCAAGTGCGCTTTAACATGGACCACTGGAAACGGTGACTTCCTGGGGAAACGGTATTAGCGCCTTTTTTGGCAATTTCTGGACCCTCACTAACATGGACCGTTCCCACTCTCAGTCTATGATCGATTTTGACACTAACATGGACCAACTGCACTCTGACTATAAACCGAACGCAGGCTAACATAGACCGCGCCGGTAGAGATCAACATGGCCCGGCGGAGGCTAACATGGACCATGTCACATACCTGTAGGGGCCTCCTGAACATGGTCTACGTTAGTCTCAACCGAGGTACTGCAGGTGCAAAACTAGACAGCTCTTTTAGCACGGTGGAGGCCAACATGGCACACTGGAAACGGCGCATTCCTAGGACATATAGGTTACTGGGATTTCGAGCATCAGCAGCCAGCAAGCCCTAACATAGAAGAGCGGCAAAGAAAAACAGGACAGTGTGGAGCAGCGTGGAAGCGAGAAGATATGGGCCCACCCAAAAGCTAACATGGACCATTCCCACTCTCGCTACTCTCAGTCCACGGTCCAACCTGACACTAAGTTTTCCAGATATCGAGTGAGGCATGTGGCTAACATAGACCACTTCCACTCTCAGTCCCTGGTCCACACTGACACAAACTTTCCACAAACCTGAGTCAGGCGTGTGGCTAACATGGACCGTTCCTACTCTCAGTCTATGATCGATTTTGACACTAACATGGACCAACTGCACTCTGACTATAAACTGCACGCAGGCTAACATAGACCGCGCCGGTAGAGGTCAACATAGCCCGGGGGAGGCTAACATGGACCATGCCAAGTACCCGTAGGGCCCACCATGGCACATCTGAATTTGGTCTAGGTTAGTCTCAACGGTGTCCGCTCGGAAACTAGACTAACATATGCCCCAATTTCTTTTATGTGCCAAAATGTTAGTTTTCACCGGTGTAAAACATACTCTGCCACATTGGAAGGTCGCCTTGGCCAAAAAGCCCACGTACCCCTCGAATCTTGCGACAGGATCGACAGGCAGCCGGGGGGGTCCTGACTCGGTTTTGACATCCAGTAGCATCCTTTTCCCCTAGTTGGTCCCCTAGTAGCGTCCTTGCTCCTAGTAGCGATGCCAGGAGCCCCTAGTAGCATCCTTGCTCCTAGCAGCGATGCCAGGAGCCCCTAGTAGCATCCTTGCTCCTAGTAGCGATGCCAGGAGCCCCTAGTAGCGTCCTTGTGTGTATTTGTGCATCCATACCCTGGCCAGGGAGTTCGTTGCTGGTCTCCTGGCCCAGGCAGGTGCCGTGAAGGCAGGGCCAGGGGTGAGAGAACGCAAAAGGATGTCAAGAGTGTTTGCGTACATTATGTCATCGTTTCTGGATGTTTCAACGGTGTCCATTGTTGAAGCCCAGTGAAGATCCTCCAAAAAGACTTTTTTGGACACTGGCATGATGTCAGAGGCTTTCCACCAGCTGTGTGGCCGGCCTCGGGCAAGAAGTCACCAGCAGAAGCCCTCGATGCAATGAGGAAGGGTGGCCCGGTGCGTGCAAGGCCTCATCTTTAGGAATCAGGGATGATCGGGAGGATTGGGACGGATCAGCATTTTGGAGACAGCAGACTGCGTGGCTGAGCAGGCGAGACGCCATACTGCTGAAAGGAGATTTACCAAATTGTTGGCCACGAGGCAATGCGGCAAGTAGCACCATACACCGCCAATTCAAGAAGATGGCAAGCTGCTACGAGTTCATTGTGGTAAATTTAACTTTTGTTGCAGGCTATCAAGATGCAAGCATCGAGGCGGAATTGGCTGCATTGTTTGTATTGTGTGTCAGTATTATAGAATATTATATAGTATTATGACGCTTTTTGGATTATGGTTTTGCTTTGTTCGGTCGTCATCAACCCCTTGGCCTGCAAAACAGGCAAGTCGTGCAGTTGAGCAAGGCCATGCGTAGGATTGCGTCAGTATGGAGAGAGAAGTTGCATGACACTACTAGGGGCTCCTGGCCTTACTACTAGGAACAAGGACGCTCCTGGCCTTACTACTAGGAGCAAGGACGCTACTAGGAGCAAAGGGCATCGCTACTAGGACTAGGAGCAAGAACACCAAGCGAACCGATGTTACCAGACATGCTTCTTGAAGGGAATGCCATGCAGCCGCCACGGAGCAGAGCATTCTCCTTCAGTCCAATTAGAGGACATGTTTGTTTGGTTGGGAAATGGTGCAGTGAAAACTGTGAAAGCATGTCTCTGCGGACATGGTCTATACACTTTGGAAGGACGGTGGGAGCGAAGCAATCATCTCTGCGAGCGGCAGCCAGGTCAGTCATTTGCTTGGTTCTAATTTCCCCCTGTGATTAAAGTACAGGGCAATTCTATTGAAGCCGGAGCAACAAAGCATGAGCTTCAAGACCATCTAATTAAGCAACTGTGAAATTTGGCTCTAGCAAATATAGAAGCAGCCCGCGCCGTGTGTGTGTGTGTGGTCCTCGCGCAGTAGCATCCTCACCAGCCCTCGATCAAGCCCACTCAAGGGGCATGCACGCTAATGACTAAGGATGATCGGTGCGAGGCGAGCGCTGCTTTTGCTTGTGACGTCCTCAGTCATTTTCGGGCTCTTGGACTTTTGGTCTTTGCATTTGGACTTTGGTAATTAACTAGGTTTGTGTTTAGGTGGGCTGATGGCTTTTCATCATCTTAGCCGCTGCCTCAAGGTCCAAATCGCCACATTTTGCCTCCTCGCCCAAGCTGCCTCTACAGAAGGGCCATAAGCTCATGCTTCCAACGTCGTCATGACGAGTCATGATGTAGAATCGACGTTTGACCTCTTATCAATCAAACCGTGACATAGTCGCCAAAATGGTCATTGTATTCCGTTGTTGTATTCCAATTTTGGGATGCTAGGAAGGGCTTCTTTGATGTGGACTGGTCCGATCCCACAGCAGCTGCTTTAGAAGTTATATGGCGGGGGGTCTGAACCTGAGAGCTGTACCTCTTGAGTGTCCAGTGTATGCTAATTGCATCCAATTGCTTGGTGTACAATACCAGCTTCCTATACTGTAGCATTGCAATTGCGCACTCAGTGAACTCTTGTTAGAAGTTAGAAGTAAAAATCGACTGTGCGCAAGAGACTGTGCTGTGTAGCGTGCAGCTTCCGGTTTTGGGGCAACATTAATCCCTGGTGTTTTGAGCAAGAATTGAGCCAAAATGGCTACCAGGTCTACAAGCAACTCTTGGGTTATCATCAAGTGTGTTTGCAAATGGGCTCTCTATCATACATATATATATATATATGTATATTTGAACAAAAGGGAATTGGGGGCAGCAAAACAAAGCCGGTTCAACGGTACATTCAACTCAGCTTTCTGATGAAAGCACCGAGGTGAAAATCATGCTGGCGCTGTCCCCGCTGATTGCCATAGTTATGCTGTTTTGCTGCACCAAGGACAAACATTTTTGGAGTTTGAATTTGATGGGTCTACAGCACTTTCATTACAGCGTAGGACGATCCAGAAGAAGAGGAGCTTAGACGGAAAAAGAAGTCCGCACCCTAAACATAGCCAGCTATGAGGCCTGGTTTCCAGAAAGCTATTTCTTTGTGTTTTTGAGGTTTGACTTCAGCCTGGATTCTGGGGAGTGAGAGGTGCATAGGCTGCACAAAGCTTGACTTGCCAAGCAGAGCCAAGCAGATGTAATTATGCTGTGCCATGAGAGCTGCAATCAGCTTATCTCAGAGCTTTCGCTGAAGTGCAAGTGCTACTGGGTTGCCGCAGATACTAGATACTGGAGAGTGCTGCGGTACTGTCAGAAAACTGCACCAGGGACAATTAAGCCTCCGTCCAGAACGGGCTGTAAATCCTCTCAGGAGTTTTGTTCAGAGATCAACAGTGATTTGCAGCGGAAGACAAGAAAAAAGGTGGTTGCGGCCATATGCCTTTGCCTATCTTGCCTAGTTGTTTGATCTTGAAGTGCAGTGTCTCTTCTCAAGTCTGTAGATGCCCTCAGCAAGGCTGCTGGCCAAAGCGTTAATGATGAGACACAGGGGCTTAATGCGCCCAAAACTGGAGAGGTGTATGTCTGCAGTCTGCATTGGAGGGTGCATTGGCGTTTCGAGGAGCTTTATCACATGGACGGCCAAGTCCCACCTCTCCCACCTATCCCACCCCCACTTGCGACCGCTGAGCTGGAAATCGACAAAGTTCGGATCTCCGGTTTTCTCACTTACTCGTCCTCGCGCACGGTCTGTTTCCGTCAGCTCAATAGCACAACTGACACAACAGGCGGTTGATGTCTCAAGCGGCTTCGTGGCCTTCGCAGCCAAAGCTTATGGTATTTTGCTTCTTGCAGTGTTTCTGCTGCAGAGAAAGTTGATCTACCTACCCAGTGGACAGGTTGCCGATCCGCGGGTATACGGTGGTGAGGTGATTCAAATAGCTGGAGACTCCGGAACGACCTCAGCCGCTATGTTCTTTCGGCCGCAGGGCTCAAAGCCCACCATAGTGCTACTTGACAATATGTTGCGCGTGCTGAGGATTCTGAGCATTAAAAGCGAAGTGATTGATCTGTCGAGAAGACGGGCTCAAAAAATAAAGCAAGGCATCCTTTGCCCACGTTGCCTTTATTTCGCAACGGCACAGGACAAAACAATGAGTTTGACTTGGGATCATTGATTGGGGCAGTGGAGCTCATGATCACAATGTCTCATGTACTTGTCACCTCACGCTAGTGGAAAGTTGTGCTGTGGTTGTGGCTAACGTCGTTGTGGCAAACAGGCCTCACCCTCAGGATAGCATGATCAACACATCCCTCCAAAAGCAAACACAGTCCGTAGGTTCGCCTTCCCTTTGTCTTATTTATTTCCTCGTGTATTGCTTGAGCAAAAAGAGCTTGTCATGAAAAGGAGCAGAGTTGACAGGATAGGTAGGAACAGTTTTCCACTACTGACTAATATACTATACAATGTTATATCATATATATGGCGTGTATGTGTATATATATATACACACACATAGTTGCTCCCCTCTAAAAAAGATCCTTTTGTCGGCACGTGAAGATCTTTTTCCCGAGGTTCTTCCACGGCAATGCTGACCAGTTGGGCTGGGGTCCTGCAGACCTTGGGAGTCAATTTTCACAGGCAGGGTATGGCTTCTATGGATACTCGGCGCAAGCTGCTAAGCTAAGATTAGTTATATACTTGATGTATTGTGTATCATTATAAACCAAGTCATATCCAGAGACAGTATTAGAGAAAGCAATTTTTGCTGAACCAATTATGCACCGAGGAATTGAATATCCGGGCTGCGGGCTTGGCCCGCCCTGGTTCTCCAACTGAAGAATCTATCTACACTTCAGCTGAAGCAATGTTAAATCACTTGGAAGAGAAGCTTAGTGTGGACAAAGCATCAGTGGTGCTTGTTGGGCAATCAATTGGCTGTGGAGCCGCAGTCGAGATGGCGAAACGCGGGTTTGGCCGGAAGCTGGTTTTGCTGAGTCCATTTACGAGCTTGCCGAGATTGTCGCAGAGGATTTATCCAATCTTTGCTCCTGCCCTAAAGCTATGCCCTTTCTTGCTCCTTGATAAGTTTGACAACCTGGCCAAAGCAAAGGATGTGAAGATCCAAACCTTGGTCATCCATGGTGACGAAGACGAGATTATTCCCTTTGACATGGGGCAAGAATTATCAGACGCGATTCCAGGAAGTATGCTCATCGCTGCGAAAGGCGGATGTCTTCAAAAGAAGAGACATCTCATCAAGAGCATAATAATATATATTATATACACATCTCATGCCATCTGAAATGGATTGAAATGGGGGTGCTCCACTCGTTGTATTGCTTCCTGACAGGCTTTGGGCACAACGACCTGTTCAACTACCCTACACTCTTGAAACACATCGCAATGTTTGCAAGCAAGGGTGCGAGCTAAAAAGAGAGTTTGTGAGCCTTGTGTGATGGAATCTTATTTTGACAGTGCTCACTCAGTAGGATACCTGCTTGGCAATGAGCTGTGTCCCTGTAGGGAAGAGGGCGGTGATGCAAGTCGCTTGCCAGGTGAAACCCGAACTGCAAGTGTTCACTGACGACGGATGCCCAAATATCATATTTGCATGGCCAACGGCCTCTTGCCATGCAGAGAATGCTGAATTGGAGCGGCAATACTGCAGCTCCTAATGTAAGTATGTGTGAAAAAACTACAGCATGGCACTTTTTGCCTTTCGTCAGCATTCTAATCTGTATGTATTCTACAGAATTCGTGAAGTGAACGGAACTCCGTGGGCCGTATTTAGTAGGAGGACGCCTACAAATTATATAATCAATACTGAGAATTGTATGGCCCGCCCACGTGCAATTCCGCACTTCGCACCAGGAGACATCGTGTAAAGTGGCATCTGTTGCTGGATGCAGTTGTGATCTCCCAGCAGCTTTTGCCTCCTGCGACAAGTTTTCCTTTGTTGGACGGCAGTGACTGCAATGGCCATTTCACATCCACGGAATGATGGAACAATCAATTGCTCTTGCAACAGTCAACCTTGCTTTAGTTGCCGTATCCGGATATGTACTGATTCGCCAAATGGCCACGTTCAACGTTCTGCCGATTGTATCCACTTATCACGACGATTGTATCCACTGATCAACAAGCATGCTTGCTAGGAGAAGACAAGCCTGTTTGTCACAATCTGATAGTGGCAGCTCACTTTGTTTTCTAGGCGGTCAGAATGGATCTTCTCCAGCATGCAACAGAGAATTCCTCATAGTCCGCAGAGCCACTGGCGTGGTGTGTATAGGATTCGTTTGTGCATTGAAGTTGCGGGCAAAGCCCCATCCTGTGTTGAGCTCCTGGCCAGTTTAAAGAGAATTGTGAACCAAATTTGTCCAGAGAGAAGTTGCACAAGATCTTTCAAGGTAGCTTTGATGACAGATCAAGGTAGCGGATGTTATTCTAGTCCAGTTGAGCGTGATCAAGTCAGTCTCAAGAACAATACGGCCAAAGCAGCCAGCTGCGGCGATTTAGAAGGAACATAAACCTTCTAGAGGGGTTCTGCGATTCCCTCACTTTTCAGCAAAACAGAATTGTTTGCCAAGGTGCATTTTTGCTGCTTTACTTTCGACTCCTTTGATCTCCCGATAGAAAGGCATTCTGCATAGATACATGTGAAATGCACTGTGACCCGCCTGGAAGGATCAAGGTTTCATACGTTGCAAGAGTAACTTGATTCTGTCCACGATAAGTGTTGCAAGTTTTCTAGCAAGCAGCCCAACAAAACCTGCTGCAGACCTGCCTGATCGGATTGTCTTGATTGCAATGTTTTGGTTTACGAGCAATGGGAAAGTCTGGAACATTGGAAGCTTGCCACTGAACCAACAGGTTTCTTGTGATGTACTGTAGTGATGACGGTTTCTTGTGACACTCAAAGTGTTCAACTTTTTGACATGACCTCACAAAGGACACCTTCCAGGTCTACTACCAGTGCAGGCACGCGACAAGTGAAGCATTGCTCATGAGACCAAGGAATGCAGACAGTCAGTCTGATCCAGCAACACATTGGTTGACAAGCATCATATGTTGGTAAGATTGTTCTACTGCATATAGTAATAGATATGTTCATGACTGGTTTGTTATGGAGTTTTAGTCTTGAACAGTCCACGTTTGGCTCGTACTCGTCGTACGATGTACACGTCTTACATGGCTGGACATTCTGGACGATGGTGGATTAAGTTGAGTCAGCCCAACTTTGCAACTATGCAAACAGTAGCATTGTGCACTATATTGCGAGAGCATGATTGATCCATATAATTCCACATACAGATGTCATTGATATCATACATATTCAGACTGACCGATGAATACGTATAAACTATAATGATCAAAACATCTATATGCATTTCGAGATCAAGCCCCTTCAGCCACAGCTCTGCGCTGGCCAGGCTAGCTGAGCTTCAAGAGAGTGCCCCACAAAGGGCCACAACGCCGCAGGAACACCACCTTTTAACATATTCTGCTTCACCTTTTTGCGACTGAGCTCCCATCTTATTGTAAGCGCGGGATTGTTTTTGAATTCTTGGGTTACAGGACTGCTTCAAGCGGCGCAGCTCTCCTCCTAGATGTTTGTGCAAACAGTTCGAGATACGTGATCCAGGAGTACTGTTTCATAGTTTTACCATCCTCCGCCAAGACCGGGTGCTGGAGCCATTGCGGCCATCCTCCGAGGCCTGCACATTGTGACTAACAGTAGAGCCAAGTCAATCCAATGTGCGCAAAATGTTGGGCCAATAGTGCCCTGCTAGCTAGCCCAAGGCTGATATTTTGCATAGTGACCCTCTCGCAAGGACAGACATGTTCATTTGTTTTCAAGGATTCGATCAAAGCTAAAATTCTACGATGAGATTCCCTTCACAATTTCTACTTGTTGCAATTACATGCAGTCGCTTTGGGCTAAAGGACTCGAGAAGGACGTGCTCGAGAGATGCAAGTGAGCGGCATTTGCCCTTTGCATCCCTTTGCACTTTTGCTGATATTTGAGAAGACCCAGGAGGAAGTCGGTCTTTTGGCACGTTGCAATCGAAGGCAATGGGCTTGAAGCTTTGTTCTTTTGAGTTCACGAGAAAGGCAAGACCACAACAATCCATTGCACGGCATTGCACCTTTCTTGCAAGGTTCGGAGGTCAAAAAACAGTCAAAGTCAGACAGGGCTTCTTGCCTCAGCATGGCGGCAGCAATGCAGCTTCAAATTATTTGAAGTGTACCGACGTGGATTCACCAGGTTGTCCAGACAGCAGATTGCATCCAACGAATCTCTGAAGCTTGCACCGGACCCGGTCATCCTACTTCAAGTGGTTTGATTGGAATATATTGGAACGAGCCCTTGTCCTGATCAACAAGCGTACAATCCTAACTAACGAAGCTTTCGCAACTTTTGAGGAGTATGCCGCAGTATGCCTCATGCCTCCACCGCCCACCCCGTTTTGATTGCGATTCACGAGTGGAAAGTCATGACAAGCGAAGCCAGAACTGAGGCGTGGACAAAGGATCCAGGCGGCAGAGCTTCCGTGGGCCACACCACCAGCCCTACGAGTAGAAACGCAGGAGAGCGAGGGAGAGCGAAGAAAGGGGGCATCGCTACTAGGAGCAAGGACGCTACTAGTAGCTCCTGGCCTTACTACTAGTAGCAAGCAGCTACTACTACCGTATACTGTTAACGGCCGCTCTGCCCGCCTACCTAATATCCGTGGCCTCCAACCTGATAGCGATGGCCTCATGCTTTTTCCATGAAGACTTTGCAGGAAGACATACGATTTATCAGTTTTGTTTGTGACCTGCAGGACGAGAACATTGCATACGCGAAGGCACAACCAGAGTACCAACGTCAGCTGACCTTCCCGTCGTCCTGTTGGTCTGATTGGAAGGACCAAGGCGCAGTTCCCTGGAGAAAAAGCCTGCGGTGGAAGAGGAGTGCATTTGGGAAAGCACACTGCTCAGCTTCCCTTTCTTTCCATTGTTCAGGACCAAGTTCCTCCTACTGACGAGGTGCACACATAGTCAAAACATGTCTAAACAAAACTGGTGTCAGACGTGTTGACCCGTGTTGATTTGCATTTGTATTGATCCTGACCTTGACAAACTCATCGTAGCCGTTTCGATTTGAGGCACCGACAGAAGAGCAAGAGCGTGCTCTGGCATTGTTGCCAATGGCCTATGGTATTGCCCTGTTGTCTCATAAGCTAAAACATTTGTAACTTACTTAACCTTTCAAGTGCTGAGGCAAAGAAGCAACTTTTTCAAGAACCTAGAGCCAGCTGTCTTATCAGAGCTCCCTCGCTTAGCCACGTTCATTGGAGGTGCTCGGGAGCTCGCAGCATTAAGCGGAACAAAATATGTCTTTCTTTACTTGGAGCAGAGGTGCTCCCATCAGAAACTGGCTATTTCTAGCGAGAAGAGCGAGCAAAAAGAGAAACTGGAAAGCAGAGGCTAGAGAGACCCTTGAGCATCGTCGTGATGTGGCCCTGGTGCAGGCACCGAAGGGTGCAGTTGTTTTCCGGCAAGGAGATAGTGCTTCAAACTGTTGGCTGATCGCCAAGGGTGAGGTGGGGCTCATTAGCCAAACCATGAGACCTATGAGACAGCAATGAAGCTGTCATTGTTGGACCTGGCCCGGTCAGGTCGGCTTCTACATAGGCAAGGACTCGGACGGTTCATCAGTTTGTGCACCGAATCCTTTGGACGAGGGGTCGGTTGTACACGCCGGACCACGCAAGTAAAAAAAGGGTGCAACCGAAGCAACAAGAGGCGGGACAACGTCCATACAAGAACAGCGACCACCAGCATGTAGAAGACAGAGTTGAAACATGGAAGCAACACATGAAGTAGTTCATGCAAGGAGAGCAGTCATTAGTAACATTAGCGTTTACCACCGGAGTTGAACACTGGAAGTAAACAACAAGTGCCAGGTACAGACAAACAGAACAACCATCAGTGTGTTGAAGATGGACAGCAAGAGCGTACAAAACAGAATTGAAAGATGGAAGGAGAACAACACATTGGCGCAGAGTACATACAATGAGAAAAACAACAATGAATAACAATGTTGGAGGTAAGTAGCAAGAAAGAATGATTTGCTCAGGTATATATATATATAACTTATATAGCTACATAAAGGAAAACATATCCCAGCAAGAGACCCCAAACAGACAGTGCGTCTAAAGGTCTAAGGTCTAGAAGCAGAAGGTCTAGAGATCTAGACGCATTGGGCTCCAGAGAGAGGTGATGGTGGTGATCAGGTGGAGATCGTGGTGGTGGTGATGATGATGATGATGGTGGAGGTGGTGGTGGTGGTGGTGGTGGTGTTGATGATGGTGGTGATGATTGTGCTGGTCGCGGTGATGGTGGCGATGGTTGTGATGGTGGTGGCGGTGATGGTGGCAATGAAGGCGGTGATGGTGATAACGATGTTGTTGGTGGTGATGATGGTGCTGGTGATGGTGGTGGTGAGTGCGGTGATGGTGATAATGATGTTGATGGTGGTGATGATGGTGGCTGTGGTGATGGGTGTTCACAAACCAGGTGCAGGCTTAGAGTTGAAGGCCTAGGTCCAGAGCTAGATGCCACGAAACCTATACACTTCAAGGTCCACAAAGTATTGCGCCTGCCACGAAGTCTGCGCGTCAAGGTCCACAAAGCGCGGCGCCTGCCAAGAACTCTGCACTTCAAGGTCCACAAAGCACTGCGCCTGCCACGAAATCTGCACATCAAGATTCACATCGCGCAGCCCTGCCAAGGCGAGTCGCAGCAAGAGCACTGGACCAAAGGCAGCATCATGATGCCAAAATGCTGCTTTCGCTCGAGACTTCGCCCGGTTTCTGAAAACGAGCCACATGTCCAAAAGTCAAGGTTCACTGCACCTGCCACAAAACCAGAGCACGCTGAGGAAAGCCACCATGTCCAAAGTACTGCGCTTGCCAAGAAATCTGTACATCGACGTAAAGCCGCTCCGATCTCCTGCACGCGTTACAAGATAAGTCGACTTTGGACCACCAAATCCCTTGCGCCTGCCACGAACAATGATCACCAAGTCCGAAAGTGCGCACGGCACCACAACGAGAGCGCAGTTTTGAAGAACACCCGTGCCAGTCCACCAGATTTCGGGAGCCTCCGCAGTCGAAATGCACTTCGAAGATCTCGAGGTGAATGAATGCAGTGCAAGTAGCAGCGAATTAGCCGGCGGATGCGAGCACCTCGATCAGACACCCAACCGTAACTACTACCGTAAGAACCCTAGAGTCGCCACACTGCTTGGGGAAACATTAACACAGTTTCCAGGAAGAAAGAGCTTTGCGTAGCTTCTCAATACTGTTCAACATACATGATCCTCCTTTGTACTGCCAAAATTAAATCCTGGGGGTGCACTACGCCTTTTGAACTGTCGAAGTGGAAAAAATTGTTTTCAGGGCATATTGTCACAGGCCACCCAGGAGATAAATCCTGACTTGGCCTCTAAATTGGAGGGGGGGTTGGGGGCTAGGATTCAGTCATCTTGAAAAATTGTTTCTGGGGGGTGTCAGAGGACAGGAAACATGTACTGTAACCCTTAAAAAATGGTTCTCCATGTTCCTGGAGGTAGGGGTCACGAAAAAAATCCTGAGTGAATACATGACCCAAACCAAACCATTCTTATTGTTTTTGAAATGATCATCATCACCCTTTTCTTCCTTTATTTTTTATCTATATAATATTGGGAGATGTTTGAGAAGACTGCGAAGATTTTGGGACTAAGGACTGACTAAGAAGAACAAGAAGGAGAGAGGGAAAGGAAGAGGGAAACACGAATCAACACACTACGACCATGTGTTCCCAGCAGTTGTTTGCCTCCCAAGATTTTTGCAAAAATATGAAAGTGATAACAAACAATCAGCATGCACAGCATTTATATATGTCCTTGAGGGCTGACCATATTAGGTTGCATTACCATCATTACCCATATTCAAAGCTGACAGTTGAGGACCAAAATGCAACACCATTCCAACCCACACCCAGACTCATCCCCAAAGACTGGACTCACACCACAAAATCTGAAAATCCAAGGTGAAACTATTTTTGTCCATCAGGGCTGCCATTTGCAAGGATGGTGCATCTGGACAAAAAATCCACAGATTTAGATCCAAATACCCGACTCACATCACAATTGGTAAAAAAACTTATGTGACATAATTGTTGTCCTTTGGGCAGACCATTTTCACTGACATATACTGAAATATGCTTGTTCGATAGTGGTTCCTCTGGAAAAACATCTCCACTATGCCATACACAACCCCCCCCATCCAGACTCATCCCCAAAGACCAGACTCACTCCACGAAGTCAGCAATTCTAAGGTGAAACTGTTTTTGTCCATTAGCGCTGACCAAGTCCAATGACATGCACTTGTGCAAGGATGACACCTGTGGACAAAAATCCACACCATTCCAAATGCAACCACCCCGCACCCAGACTAAGCCCCAAAGATCTCCAAAACTGGACTCGCACCACAAATCAGAAAATTTGCAGTGAAACTATTTTTGTCCATTAGGGCTGACCTTCACCTTCTGCAAGGATTGCACATCTGGACAAAAATCCACACCATTCCAAATGCAACCACCTCACACCCAGATTTAGATCCAAAGACTCGACTCGCAATCACAATTGGTGAAACTGATGTGACAGAAAGTTTGTCCTTTGGGGCAGACCATTTTCACTGAAATATGTTTGTTCCAGGGTGACTCCTCTGGAAAAACATCTCCACTATGCCATACACAACCCCCGCATCCAGACTCATCCCGAAGACCAGACTCGTCGCCAAAGACTCGACACACCACAAGGTCAGAAAACCTAACGTGAAACGATGTTGATCCATTTTCTAGGGGTGACCAAGTCCAATGTGCAAGGATGACCTATGGAAAAAATCCACACTGCTAGGCGTAGGTTTGTGATGAATGCCTGCAGTGCGCCAGCAAAACGGGTCACATGTTTTTTGAAAAAGGAAACCCTTTTTAGTAGGTGTTCGTGCCACAGTTGCTTCACGCAGCGTTCCCCATCAGTTCACCGTCTCTTCTTGTCACTGCATGTGGAAATTGTTTTTGAGGGGGGTGGTTAGGGGACAAAAATAATGTAACTCTTAAAACATTGTTTCTGAGGGGGGGGAGGTAGGGGGTTAGGATTTAATTTACAGGTCATTGCACGCTGTCCTGTATCTGCTTGGCTTATTGTGTGGTGCTGTTGATGGGTTAGCCACATTAGTTAAAAACTCCCACTCATAAAATTATTTCCAGTGTGAGGGCCCCCCCAGGGGGATCATACATTTACATCACGCCTACAAAGTGCACTATGTCGCCAGCCCTTGGAAAGAGCATTGGAGAGGTAACCATGGAGCGCAATCCTTCGTTTCTGAAAAAAGTGCTTGCGCACGTCCCCCATCCTCACACCACCCCATGTTGTCAGTTTCTGGATCCTCTTTCTTGTTGGCCCCACCCCACCCCACCCCACCCCATCCGACTTCAACATGACATTGGGAGGTTTGTCATCAATGCTAGTTGAAGTCAACATCATTGGCCCCGCCCCATCCCACAAAGCTTTTGTTTGTACAGCTGACCCAGACCTCTGTGTACAGCTGATCCCCGGGCCCACTGGAATGAATGAGTGTTTTGAAATATTTTGATTACACGTGTGATGTTGCTTGTCAACAGGCCATGGCTCACCCCCAAGTCCGCGCGAACGGACTACCACGGGTTGCGAAACAATGCAACTTGGTGCAACCTAGTCATTCCCTTTTGCGCCACTCCCATTGAACAGAACAAAGAACCTGGAAGGACTGCCTCAGAGACTTTGTTTTTTCCAAGTGAGGATGGTGCCACTGCCATGGGAGGAGAGAGCGCGAGCACAGACTTCAGAGTTTTAAGAATTGTTTGATGGAAGCACTGATCAACCTTTGGATCACTTTATTAGATCAGGCTGACGGACTTATTGTTAGTTTCCAGTGGGTACCTTGCTTCGACACGCTGGATTTCAATGCTGGAGAACTCTCAACTTGTACAAGTACTGTCCTGCTCATCATGATATTTTGTTTGTTCCATTGCGTCTCAGGTGCCAACCTTGGATGGCCATAGTACATTTTCATTGCAAAGCAATTTTGGCAAGTGCGTCAACAGACTTCGAAGTGGTGCCGTCTTTGGAGAGTGGGTGCCTTGAAGTCCATGAACACCTCAAAGCACAGCTGTTGCATGGCCGCTTTTGCCTTGAAAGGACATATTGATACCATTCTAGGCTTCCTTCTCACGCTTTTGTACTGTAAATATGTGTCAAGAAAAATAGTTATTCCACATGCCGCTTTGTGCTAGCTAAGGCTTGCACTCCTAGAGGAGTCTTGCAGAAAGGCCCGCGCTCGAAAAGGTATTTCCATTGGCCAATATCAGCACAATATGTTTTTGTTTGACTCCTTGGAAAGGCGACAGCCAAGTGCCATACAAACTGCATCTGGGCTGCAGCTCTTTCATATTGTTCATTGTATTTTCACATGAGTTTCTTATGTCATGGCTTGCAGGCGAATTTATGACGCTACCAGCAGCCGCGTTCAAGATTGCCAAGGACTTTTGGATACTTTTGGGATACTTTGGTAGCGAGGTTCATCAAAGGTCAAGTCTATGCCGCTATGCCTACACTCTTCCTTTTGGAAGCCTATTGCTTGAAGTGTTGGAACGCACAGAGTCTGATTTGAATCACTCACACCATTCTCAAGTTGGGTGCTTGCAAGGAGCGGCTCCTACAGTTCCGCACAGTGTGGCACCAATGTGAGAAAACTGTCTTTCCCCTCTTATGCTATGAATGATTGAAGCTTAAGATAATACATCTCCTCTGCCTAGGCAAAGAAGAGATTCCTTGATAAACATGTGCCAGGGTTGAAGGCGCATTCATGCTGGGGCTTCTGTTCTGGGAGACTCCCCGCTCAAATAAGGGTCTTGTAAACAACAATCATTCTTCATTTAGATCGTAGCGAATCAGAGCGATGCCAGGATTGTCCAGAGCCTGGTCCGAATGACCCGCCTCATCCAAGTTTTTTCTTCAACAGACTACGTGTGCATCAGGTGAGACTTTTTCTTGGCTGCTGTGAATGCTTCAACATTCAGTATCATCATAATCTCCTTGATTTCATGCAATGGGCCATCGATCATGATACCTTGCAAAGGAAGGCGAAGTTAAATGACATGTTGCGACAGCTCGTCATGTGGTTGTGACTCAGGTGTTTTATTGACCAGAACAAGCTTCTTTTTCAGTAATGTTTATGGTTTGACTAGTTGGCCAAGGTCGCTTCGGTTGCTGTTTTGTCAGGAATATTTCTTCCTGAAGCAGGGTGAGCGAGCGCGGCTCTTGAAGTTTTTCTGCTTGGAGACTATGTCCCTCCCGTGGAGCTATAGAGTAGATTATAGGGCTGTGTGACAAAGTAGGATACTTTGCACTAGGATTTGAGGGCGCTCTATGTGATCTACAGAGGCACTCTCACCAGTCTCATGGGTTAGAAAGCTCCTTTGTATGTCGAATTCAAGAGCTCATCACTCGTCCATAGGCAATGTGGAGCTCAGACAAGAGAAGGCCGACGCCGATGATGTGCTGTGACATATCATGCGTTGTCTATCTTCAGCGGGCACCTCAGTCAGGAGAGCGGGTCAGCGGTCTGCCAGAAGTTGCTTCCAGGAAGCATGCCCCGAGCTCGATACAGAGCTCTTCATTTCTGTTTGCTCAGCTTTGAAGCTTCCAGGTTTGGGTCTTGGATCCACAGTGCAGTAGAGCCACTCTCTGCTGTGGCCGCAACTACATGTGAGGTGCGGATATATGCATGTATGTATGTATGTATGTATGTATGTACGTATGTATGTAAGTATGCATGTACGTATGTATGGACGCATGGATTGATGTGCATGTATGCATGGGTGCATGAATGTAATGTATGTGATGTGATGTGATGTAATGTGAATGTAATGTTAATGTACTGTTAATGTAATGTGAATGTAATGTGAATGTAATGTTAATCTAATGTAATGTAATGTAATGTAATGTAATGTAATATATGAATGTATGATTAGACTTGTTCTCAATAACTTCTTCTATGCTCTCGTAAATACTGATTTGGATGCCTTTGCGAGGTGTGGTATGTCAAGGCCTCCGACATGAGATATTTGCCGCAACACTTGCTGAAGACAATTCAGTCCACCACTGAGGTGGCAATGTTTGCCTACCAAGCAATGCCAATCACTTGGTTTGGTCATGTTGCTCTCAGGCATCACTTGTCCATCGAATATGCAAAGCTGCTAAAGGCGGTGTATGTCGAAAGAGCATTTGGCAGCTCAGTGCAACACGTGCAGACTTGCAGCTTCATTATCACATTAATATTACAGTACTCTACATTCTGCATGCTGAGGCTGGGACAAGCCTTTGTCCCTTGGTCGCAAGACATTGACACTTGTAACCCGGTGAGACATGATAGAACAAACTTCCTTTTAAAAAAACATATATCAGAAGATTGCGTTCCATCCTGCAGGCATCTGCCAGAAACCCCTCGAGACTTTGAGCAAGATGATCCACAAAGATGGGCTGAGCAAATTGTTCGCGAGGACAGGCAACCATAGATCATGTTCACAAGACTTGAGCAGAATCAACTATGCATGAGGGGATAAGTTGGATCAGGTTCAAGACCAAGAGATGCGCACGCAATTTTTTGCCGCTACCATTGGCCAAGATCTTATCAATAGGCAGATGGGCGGAAACCTTAATATCGATCAATATCCGTGGAAATACAAGACACTGAAGAAATCTGAACAACAAGCATGTGCACCAATATTGAAGGAAATGGCGATGATTGCGGTTGTGGCAAGGGCCTCAAGGCATGCCATATTGTTAACGAATCCATAGATATCCAAGATATCCAATAAATATGTATATATATATAATGTATTGTAATATAACAATCAATTAATTTGAAATCAATTTTGAAATCCTATTTAATTTATACGACGTATAAAGGATCTCCGAATCCTATTAAATTATTGATTTGTCATTATATTTCGATAAAAGCTAAAAATCTTGAAATATGTAAATATTTTGAAAATTTATATAAAGAATACGAATTTATTATATATTTTGGTGATTCTACATTTTATTGTCGATTTTAAATTTAATTGAATCGATAGAATTTGAAATATATATTGTATAATTTTAATTGTTATAATATATGTATGAATTTTGAAATAATATTTTTTTATAAATATATTGTTATTTTAGATTCGTATAATTATTTCTTTAGGATTTCGTATTTATGGGGAATCGAATTTGCGGATTATAAAAGATGTATTTGATGTTTTTAGTTTGGACAATATTTTATTAATTTTTGGTCGATTGGTATTATATATTTATATTGATTTAATAAATTTTGGTTTTAAATTCGGAAAATATAAATGCATAGGTAGAAGAATTTTTTTTGTTTATTTTATGTTCGGTATGATGGTTGTTATAGGTATTTTATGTTATGATTAAAATATTATTATTATAAAAATATGGAAAATAAAGCATAATACGAAGCATGGACGTTAATGGGTTCCGACTAAATTTAAAAC